CATCCGCCGGCGCTCCCCCACCCCCCTTCCTTGGAGGCGCTTTCCTCGTCCTGCTCCCAGGCGAGCGTTCCGCGTGCCTCGGCGAGGCTCTTCAGCCGAAGCTCTTCGGCTTCTTGTTGCGCCAATGCCTCTTCTTCCGTGGGCGAGAGCCGTTTCTTGGAATCGCGCCGGTGAGAGTAGATCTCTGCCGCCTTTCGTTCGGTGTAGGGCCGGGGATTCCCATGCGCGTCGAAGGTGCCGACGCCAACGCCGCGGAGCATTCCTTGGAGATGCTGGGATGCGGGTCCGGGAAGAGGATGTTCTGGTGTGCCGAATACGACCCGTGTAGCTGTTTCCAACTCCAGTTGGGAGAGACCCTCTTCAGGCGGTGCGTCTCGCTCTGTTTCGCGAATGGCGGCAAGGCCACGGCCGGCGATCGCGCTCGTCGAAGACGTTGGTGTGTGGCAGTTCCTGCAGACGCCGTCGGGATCGGGGTCGTGCAGCGCGAGCTCGCGGGGGTGTGAGTGGTGTGGCACCCAGGGGCGCCCATCAGGGTGCTTCCAATCGCGGCGATGAATGTGTTCGAAGCGCAGGGGGACGAGGTCAATCAATTCCTGCGAATCGCCGCTGCAGTCGGGAATGTCGAAGTCGAGAACGTATACGCCGTTCTCGGCGCGCGCCCGTCCGATCTGCTTGCGCTTCTTGTTCGGCATCGTGAAGTGGAGCAGGATGTCGCGCGTCTCGGGGTCGGTGCTGAGGATGACTCCGCAATCCAGGAGTTGCGCCGCCGAGAGTAAATTAAAGCGCAGGTTCTGCACAATCAACACGTCGTTAAGTGTGATGTGCGTTCGGCTCCCTCGTGCCTTGAGCACCACGATACCTTGCGCGCTTGCGCGCAGCCGCGTGTTGTTCGCCACTGTGACGTAAGTGACGACGGGAGTGGGGACGGCGTTGGATATGTAACGCTCGGAGCCCACCATATGCTGCCCACAGCAGCTGTCCAGGTACCAGTTGTTGTAGCGCCTGTTGTCGTTTCGCGCGAGCAGCGCCAGTCGCGGAGTGACGATGTGTGGAGTGTCCACCTTCAGAAACTGTTCGCGCGCGATCCAGTCGATCGGTGCCGGCCACATGTCAGGTACGTGCGGAGGGCTCTCAAGCAGCGGGACTGGTAGATTCCAGTCCTGGTTGTCGTCGTCGCTGTAGTCGTGATGCGTGCTGAATGGATTGTTGTTCGGAGATGCCTCGATTGGGTCGGGCGCCGGCTCAGGTGACAGTGAGCGTGCGCGCGGGCGACGAGAGCCGCTCGTCATGGTCATGTTCCCCATGACGTTGCGGACGGGGGCAGCTTGTGGTGGCTGCTGCTGCTGCTGAGTTGTTGGATTCAGGTTGCGCGGTGGGGGTTGAGACCCCTGGGCGGGACGCGTGTCGTTTCTTGCATCTTGTCGGCCGGACCAAGTGCTCGGATTGGTCTGGCGAGGGCGAGATCGATGCTTGCATCGATCCGCCAGGTGCCCGAAATTTCTGCAGATCTTGCAGTAGAGGCACCGTGGTCGTCGCTCTTCCGTGTTGTCTGCGTAGAATGCGAGACGTTCTCTCTCTCGTCGTGGCGCTGGTCGCTGCTGGTCCATATCCCGTTGTTCGACGAGGAGGGCGGCGCAAAGGGCGGCCTCCGAGATGACCCCGTGCTGTCGGAGAAGCGCCTTGCAAGGCCGCCACTCTGGGCCGAGCCCTTGGAGCACGATGTTCACGAAGATCTCCTCAGAGATCGAGCTCCCCAATTTCGCGATTTGATCGCGTAGACTCCGACAGCGATTCAGGTAACTGTTGGCTTTCTCTCCTGGTGCCATCCTTGTTTCCAGTAACTGCTGGAGGAGGCGGCTCGACGACACTGAGTCCTTGGGTTGGTATACGCCATTCAGGTGGCGCCAGGCGTTGAGGGCTGGAGCAGGGGAGGTCTTGTATGAGCGAATGCTCAATTGCTCCGTCGGCGACATGTTCCGCAGAAGAACCCCATACGCCATCAGGGACTCGTTGTAGTACTTGGTTTTTGCGTCGTCAGTTTCTTCCGTAGGCCCCGAGTAGCTTCCGTCGAAATAATGATAAATCTGCGCGTTTTGCAGTAGCAGCTCCAGCTCAAAGCTCCAGGTATAGAAGTCTCTGCCGTCAAAGCACGCACTTGTCTTTATTTTTTATATGCTCAAAAACCTTGATTGCGCAGAGAGAATTGCTTCATCGCTGGGACAGGAAGTCTTAGGGGTTGAGCCGTTCGTATCGAGAGAGAAGCCTTGCGGGGTGGAGTTCTGGCCGTTTGAGGCCGGTTGAGTGGGTTGGGAAGAGGTTCCCGCATCGCCATTCCGCAATGTCTGGAGCCCTTGCTCCAGGCTCGTGAGTCGCTGAAGCAGTTGTGCGAGGACGGCGGAAGGAATCGTCGTCGTTTCCTCGTTTGTCGCAGCCAAGTTGGGCTGCGCTTCAGCCGTCAGATTCGTCTGACCTCCAGATCCTCCGACCATTCTTACACGTGATCGTGTGCCGGACGCCACTTTCCGAATGTCGCAGATTTCGGAGATGGCGGTGCGAAGGATTTCTGAGTCGCTCTCATACCATGTCAAAATCAGAAAGTGATTGTAACCAGGATCACCTCAGGAAGGTTCGCACAATTCTAGTCTAGTGGTGGTGGGCCCTTGACCTCAATAGCAGAGTGAATGTAAATGCTTGAGATAATAAACACGTGTAGTACAAGGAATATAAATATGAGTACAGGGGAATTCGAAACGACCTAACTAGCCATGTACTCTAAGGGGTACATTCCCTTATTGCAGCGAAATCCAACCGTGCGACTCCGAGTGGTTACGTAACTGTTCGGGCAGAATCCTCGCCACTGCTGCTGCCTGATGCTGTCTGCCCGACGGTCCAGATGCTCCTCGTAACCGTCTGTCCCTTCGCCTTTCTTCTGGCTTTTCGTCTTCACTCTCGATAGTGCGTGCTTCGGCTTTACTACGGTGAGGAGTGCGCAACAGTGTTTTTCATTAACTACTATTCGTAACACTCCGGGCCTCCGCTTCGACACTTTTTCCCAACCTCAGTCCCTGGCCCGTCGCGCGACAACCACAGTCCATTACCGTTACCACTGTAGTTTCGCTATATATTCTTCGCTCATGCCTTCGCTCATTGTACTCTTGCTTCGATAGTGCAATTCTCGTTCGTTCACTCAATTGCACTCGTAACAAGTACTTTCTGAGGTACTTTCTGCAAGAATTATGCTTTCTGTGTAAGCCCTGTAAATTACTGTACCACCTCGACCTGCCTGCATGTAGCTCGTGTATTGTATCGCACTGATCTGTATTGTAGCACATGGCATTCCCCTTCTTGCTGCAAAAGTGAGGTTGTTCCCTTCCTGCTTCTACTGCTGCTGCAGTTGCTGGTACTGTTGTGTGTGTGTGTGTAGTGGTGTCAGGACGGGTCATTTTCGTTCTGGTGTGCAATGGTTAGTGGTGAACGTAATGTAACGTATTTAACCGTGTCATACGAACTCAGAACGGAAAGTATGACCCCACAGTGCACACTGTCACCACCAACGAAGCTTGCCTCGCTCGCCACTCGCCATCCAGATCAGAACTCCATCTCATCTTTCACGATCCGTCGTCGATAGGATCGAATCTCGCCTCAGTTCTGATCACCCTCCTCAGTTCGCCTCAACTTTAATTACGCACCTCGGACACTGTACAGTACGATAGTAGGCTCTGAAAACTGAGCCTAAAAAATGTACCCTCCAACGTGGCAGCCAGATCAGCTTGTACAGTCCCTAGAGGAAGCATATCTTTCTCGTTCGAGATAGGCACGTCGAAGAGAACCGACGTGCTCGCTTCCCAGACGAAAAATAACACGGGCTATGCGGTCATTCATCCTGGAAATAGTTTTTCGCCAGCTAGTCCAGTTGTAATTCATGATCGTCGCATAGAACTGTACGTAGGGATCAACCAGCGCTTCACAAGTACAGTACTGTATCCAGGTTGTCGGTAAGCTTATGCGGCTCGAGATGTTCCGACAGCATCTGGTGTCGTCTTGCCGTCATCTGTTTCGCAAACGATTGGCACTATTAATGGGTGACCTCAAACGGAGCGCTGCTTCTACTGTAATGTCAGACACACGGACCTTGGAAAATGGATGGACGATGGTGTATGCTTGCTCGCGGTACCTCTCGCCGCCCGTGCGCGAACTCTCAGGTTCACCTCTTTGGCTTGGCACTCTGATTCACGTACACTGTACATGTATGATCCTGTCCGGGATGCAGCCCGAGAATTCCGGAAACAGTGTCAATCTGCCAGCTCGTCGAACAAAAAATCCATGGCCGTCGCTGCTGCTTTGCTGCCAAAGATCGTTCTTTCCGTCCGTGCCTTCCTGGCTCACCGCGTCACAGCGTCTCATTCGCCAAAACTCCCAGCTACTAAGGCACATCCCTCTGGTCAGACTCCCTGGCGAGAATTTCCACCATATACTATGCTCCGACTCTAGTAAGAGTGTCCCTTCCGACTGAGACCAGATTCCTTCTCCCGCTCCGGTTTGTTTCGGACTAGAGTAGGAAGAGGTTAGTAAGTCGCTGTGACCGGCTTTCAAGTACCATCGTTTCTGCTACCATCATACGAAAGGGATTCTTACGGAGCAATGCAGGCGGCTCATCCCCGCTAGTGCCACGCTCGCTACGGTAGCTCGCCGAGAGCTGTATCGTCGGCCCTTGCAGTGGATAATCGGCGAGTCGCGAGCTACCCTCTTAGACTGACATTGTTGATCTCCTCAAGACGAGCCTCTCTTCACTGCTACCGGATCTCCTTCGTACTTACGGCGAACGACTGATATCATTAGAACGAGTTTGAGTAGTTGGAGGTATTGCTTCACGAGCCGCTGAGTATCTATCAAGGTACGGGACTGTTACCCGGTGTGCGTCGGACTAGACTGCTGCTGCTGCCATGGCGGAAACGCTCTTAGTATTCTCCGAATCCGCGGCGGCTCCGACGCCAAGAGTGATGATTCCAGACCTTGTTCGCCGCGTCAGCAGCCGCGACGCGCCTCCTGCACCGGCACCGGAGGCGGCACCGGCGGCGGCGGCGGAGAGCAGTAGCGCCGGATTCGGGGTGGCATTGCGGAATGAGCGGAAGGGGACGCAGCGGCGCGACGCGAGGCAGCTCTCCATCCACGTGGAGAGCCCGCGGCGGTCTCCAGCAGCCGCCACGCTGGCAGCGGGATCTCCGCGGAGCCTGCAGATTCTTGACTCGGAAGCTTCCAAGAGCGTTCGTCTGCACCACCGCAGGACCCAAAGCGGCGTCATTTGTTCCAACAGTCACATCAGCAGCCACGTCAGCAGCAACTCGGATCTGGGCTCGCCTGTACGCGCTGCTCCTCGCGGCGGCAGCAAGAGCAGTCGGCAGTTCAGGATACATCCAAGCCCTCCTGGTGGTGCTGACGTGGCACCTCCCATGGTGATGTATCCCCACACTGCTCCTGCCGCGGCTTGGGCTGCTGCTGCAGGAGGGGGAAGCGGAAGCCCCGTTAAGGGGAGTGGCAGCCCTGCTGACAGTCACAGCTACTCTCGATACAGTCACATTTCTCGTGGCAGCCCTCAGTACAGTCACATCCTTCCAGAGAGCAATCAGATCCGTCAGTGCGGACAGGACAGCCCGCGATATGGAAGTGTCGCCGCTGCTAGGAGTGTCGTTGCGCCCCTGCCGCCGCCTTCACCTGCCAGCGCATCGTCGCCACGTGGCGTGTTGAGAAGGAGCCCACGTGGACCCGCTTCAGGCAGGATCAGCCCCGGTAGTAGCAGTTTCGTTACTAGCAGCTCGATCAGCCGGAGCAAGACCATGTACGCGTCAAAGTCGCCTCCAATATCCGTGGTGCCAAAATGCCAAGAGGAGGATTCAGATGAGGCGGCTTGGGGACCACGGTTCGGAGGTTCGGGAAGATCCGTCCGATCCCCGGCCTCCGAACCTGGCTGGTCCAGGCGATTCGCGTCAGTGGATCTGGACGAATGGGGCGCCGCCACGTATGCACCGCGGTCGTCTCACGAACTAACCGACCCGTTCGATGTGAGCTGTGCGTGCGATGCGAATGGCACCGCGTGGGACAATAACTGGGAGTGCGACAGCGTTGCGACGGACACTTCTTCTCACGGACAGGCCGCGGAAGATATAGCGATCTATCGCAGCAGCAGCACCGGGCATCGATACCCTGTTGTGATGTCCAGCAGCATGATCGGCAGCAGCGGCCAGCGCTCTTGCCAGTGGGACGACCCCTGCAGCCCTGCTGCTGCTGCTGCTGCTGCTGCTGCTTCAGCGCTGCATGCCCCTCATTCTGCCTCTTGTACCGCTCGCCACGGCTCGGGTCCTGCTCTGCAGGGCTCTGCTGCTGCTTCTCCGCACGTCCCGCATGCTGCCCTTTCGAGGGACGACCGGCCCGGCGCGTCTCTCCCGCCCCCTGCGCGCCAAGGCAGCGGCTCAGCCCGGAAGCAGCAGCTAGTACCGACCCACAAGAGATCTCACTCCGCTGCACCGCACTCCGCTGCACCGCACTCTGCTCAACCGCACTCCCACCCCAGTCACCCCGGTCACGGCAGTCTCACCAGATACCTGCCTCATCTCGAGATCCCAGGGCAAACGGGTCAAGTGGGTCAAACCGTTTCGTTATCCGCGAACGGGCACCGAAAAACCCACTCGCATTCTGCTGCATTGCATGGCAACACCACACACCCGGGTCAACTGGGTCAGCTGAGTCACACCACTCACCCGGGTCGCCTGACGCCTCTTGATCTGCCAGGTCTAACGAGTCAAGCGAGTCAAACGGGTCAAACGGCTTTCTCCCCTTCCAGCGCCTCGCCTTCTCACGGCCGCAGGCGCTGCAACCTTGCGCTGAAGCACACGGAGGAGGAGGAGGAGGCGAAGCAGCACAAGGGGCAGCAGCAGTTGGTGGGGGAATGCAGCGTGGGCGTGGGCGTGGACGGCGGTGGTGGTGGCGATGGTGAGTCGAGCGACTCAGATGACGATTTCATCGGGCTCTACGCTGCTGTTGTGCGCAGCCGTGCTGGCGCTGGCAGCACGAAGGCGCGCGCTGGGGGCATGAATATCGGTGCGGGCACTGGCAGCCTGAAGGCGTATGTTAAGGTGGTGGAGCAGGGGGCAGGGGTGGTGGACCAGGGGGCAGGGGTGGTGGAGCAGGGGGCTCGGGCGGTGGAGCAGGGAGCAGGGGGCATGGATCAGCGGGCGGGCACTGGCAGCCTGAAGGTGAATTCTAAGGTGGTTGCGCAGCGGGCCGGGTTGGTGGAGCAATGTTGTGGGAGCATGAGCATGAACATGAACATGAACATGAACATGAACATGAACATGAACATGAGCATCCGTGCTGGCACTGGCAGCATGAAGGCGCGTGCGGCCAATTCACAGACTGTGGGAGACAGCCATGCTGCGAGTAGGAGCAGCAGTGGAAGCAGTGCTGTAGGAGTGGGCAGCAGCGGCGCCGCCGGCAGCACAGCAGGCGAAAATCACAGCTCAATGCACCCGGCCAGCACAGCACAGAGGGGTGTGCTGGTCAGCAGAGTACAGAGAACGGCGTCTCGAGACGGGCCCATTCTGCCTGCTGCTGCTGCTGCTGCTGCTGCTGCTTCAGCGAATGGTGTGCTGGCCAGTGCTGCCGCAGAGAGGGAAGGGACGGAGGGAACGGAGCGGAGTGACGAGCGGATGGAGCGGAGGGCGAGGAGGGAAGCGAGGAGAGCGAGAAAGGCCATGGCGGCGCAAGCGGAGCTACCCCAGAAGGAGATTTCGGAGTCGAACCAGAACTCGGTTCCCCCGCAGGAGGAGTGTCGGGCAGAGCGGAATTCCCGGCGCAGCTTGACTATCCGAAGCAGCCTCTCTTTGGCCAGCAGTATCCGAACCAGCATCAGCGGCAGCCTCGGAGGACGGTGGGCGCGGCGGCTTAGGCGGAGTATTAGCAGTGGGAATGGCAGTAGTAGCGGGAATGGCAGCGGGAAGAGGGGAGGTGGGGAGGGCGAGATGGGTGATGCTGAGGGGGAGGAAGGGGATGAAGGGGAGGAAGGTGAAGAAGAGGGGAGTGAACAGTGGAGTGAACAGGGGAGTGGTAACGGGAGTGGTAAGGGGAGTGGAAAAGGGAGGGAGAATAGGGTGCGGAGGAGGAGCAGCAGTTTCAGCCTGAGCAGCATCGCGAGCAGCATCAGCAGCGGGTTCCCCTGGTATTCCACCGATAGCGACGGCGCCGTAACACCTGTCAGCGGCTCCAGCAGCGTCACCAGCGGTGCAAACACAGACAACAGTGCGTTGCCATCTAAGTCTCGGCATGAGTCTCGGCCGCCTCAGCACAGAAGGTCCCAGAGCTTAGGGGCGGTGTGGCAGCAACCTAAGCAACCTCAGCATCCTCATCAGCCGCAGCAGTCGCGCAACCCGTGGGAAGCAGAAGGGCTAGCGTATGGTTCCCAAGGGGCCTCTCAGCTAAACCCTGGCGAGAAACCCGGGGGTCAGTCAAGGGAGTTGAAGGGGTCAAACGGGTCAAACGGGTCAACGGGGTCAACGGGGTCAAAGGATGGCCCAAGGACTGGTGGCAGCAAGGCCAGTAGTCAGGGTAATGGGGTTCATGCGGCTGAGGTTGCAGAAAAAGCGGCACATTTTTCCCATGATCATCAGCGCCTGGGTATGCGTCAGGCCAAACATGAGCAAGAGCATGGTGCCAGGTATGCTCGTGGGGACGAGGCCTCCCACAGGCGTGAGAATGGTCATGGGCAGAAGCATGGGCTTGGGGGAGAGAACCAGCATGCTGGCAGATGGGCGCTGAAGCAGCCGCGCAGATTCTTGAGGCATCTGGGAAAGAAGGTAACGTTCAAGGAAGAAGTTGAACACATATCGTAATCATACAATGTGTGTTTTGACCCAGGTTTTCCGGAGCAGATTTAAAGCTCGGGGTTGATTCTATGGCTTGCTTTCCTGGGTTTTCTTGTGAAACATGACATGTTTTACTGCTGTGGAAGTGTGTTTGTGTTTATTAGGAGTAATGAAAAATAGAAGAATCTGGGGATGTGTGCCTGTAAGGAAAATTCTTTTTTTCCTTACTTGGCGTCCCCGCTCAGCGCGTACACCACTGTAGCACCACAGTCGGCACCGTTACCACTCGCAACCCTCGCATCGACAATCCTCCCGCCACCTTCACACGTCGTACCCCGACCTCACGGCTCGGCGGGTAACCCGCGCTCCGGGCCTCCGCTTCGACATTCCCCCAAACCTCAGTCCCAGGCCCGTCGCGCAACAACCATAGTCCATTACCATTACCACTATAGTTTCGCTATATATTCTTCGCTCATTGTACTCTTGCTTCGATAGTGCAATTCTCGTTCATTCACTCAATTGCACTCGCAACACTTGGTATTCAAATCCTACGATCTCTTCTCGGACCGCACCCACACCTTCGCTTCCCCACTATCTCAATTTTTGGGGGGGGTAGACGTCTCTCAGCGACACAGCACCGCCGCTCGTAGTGCTCTCTCGTAAGCACGCACGACCACGACAAAGGCTCTCGCTGAGCTTGCCCGACACCCCCGCCATGGCCGAATTTACTCTCGCGACACTGACGCAGGAGCAACTCGACTGTCTCGTGAGCCAAGTGGAAGAATTGGCGCTCGAAATTGCGACGCTCACGGCGGAACGTGACTCCGCGCGTCAGCAATCCACGGTGAATACTCCGGCGCCACCACACGGACCTGCAAATGCACCAGCACAATCGGAGGAGCCGATCGTCATTTCAGCAGGCACACCAACACAGAACGACGGCGCGGGACAGCGCTCAGGCGCAGCCAGTGATGGCGCCGCCCACTCGATGCCGGGCATGGAGAGGAACAAGGTCGCGCCAAGCCCACGGGAGCCTCGCGAAGCCCGTCGGCACGTGGAATTTGCGGCGACAAGTGGCGACCACGCCATCATGACGCCAATGCCACTGAAGCCGCAGCGCCCGCCCTGTTTCAACCCGAGTCAGCGTGGAGGTCCGACGGTTCAGTCGTGGGTCTTCACGATGAACGTATTTTTCGACGCAAACTACGTCGAGTCGGACGCGGCGAAGATCAGATACGCCGTCTCGCTGCTGAGGGGTGTTAAGATAGTAGGCAGGAATGAATGGACTATGAATGAGATTGGTACAAATATGAAACCCTCAAAGGGGCTGTACCCCATATTGGCTACCCCACTATAGCCTAAACATATATATCATTTGACACACCCCCATAGGCAAAGTGGGGGAGAACAAGGGGTCACAAAACCAGTCAAGAGAAGCAAAGCAAGCTCAGGGTGGATCACAACGTCACCACACAATCTGAGCACAAGCAAAGGGCCAAAGGGCCAGTCCGCATGCAGAAATATATATGCAAAAGCAAAAGTACAGTGATCACTACCTAACAAGTGTAGGCATGCAGGTATACAATATAGATCACAGTACAGCCAAGGTCAAGAAGTAAGTAAGTGAGAAGACACAGGAACAAGGCCAAGTGCAGTACAGAAGCGCTGATGGTCACGAGGCGAAAGTGCCTTGGTGAACACATCAGCAGTGTTGGCCTGAGAGGCCACGTAGGCAAGACGAAGCTGACCACGCTGCTGCAGCTCCCAAGTAAGGAAGTAGCGAAGAGCGATGTGCTTCGTTCTGTGCTCCAACCTCTGTTCGCGACACAAAGCAATCATTGCCTTGTTATCGACGTACAGAACTGGGGGAGAACGAGGCACCTTGCCCAAGTCGGTCAGCAGGTAGGTGAGCCAACGCAGCTCCTGTGCAGCCATGGCCCCTGCGTAGATCTCAGCCTCACAGCTAGAGCTGAGAACAGAAGTAGAGCGGGTAGACCGCCAAGAGACAGAACCGGAGCCAAGGCTTAAGGTGTAACCCTGTGACGACCGCTGCGTAGCCAAGTCGTCAACCCAAGAAGCGTCTGCGTGACCAGTGAGGACAACTGGACCCCGTCCTCCAAGCACGAGCCCCATGCCTGACGTACGGCACAAGTAACGCATCACCCTCTTAGCTGCCTTCCAGTGCTCTGGATGGTGTCTCCCGGGCGCAACGTAGCGTGCCAGGATGCTGAGAGGGTAAGCGAGGTCAGGGCGAGTGCAGGTCATCAGGTACATGAGGCAGCCCACAAGCTCTGGATACGGGCCACTCGGCTCTACGGACTCATCCGAAGGCAGAGCTGAGAGCGAGTGACCAGTAGGCAGAGGAGTGGACTGTGGCGAGGAGAACTGGAAGTCGAAGCGCTGAAGGACCTGCTGCACCATGTGTGACTGGGTCAGAGTGATGGTGCGGCGTGCTCTGTCCCGAGTGATCTGCAAGCCAAGATAGCTACGCAGTTCACCCAGGTCTGTGCACGTGTGTCTCTTCTGCAGCTCCGACTTCACTAGAGTCAGTGCCTCAGTGTCAGCAGTAGCAAAGACCAAGTCGTCGACGTACACGAGGATGTAGAACGGCGGCAGTGAAGTGTCGGTGCGTAGAAACAGCGACGGGTCAGCAGTAGAAGGAGCAAACCCAAGAGCCGCAAGTGTAGTCCTCAGTGTGTCGTGCCACTCACGAGGTGCCTGGCGGAGACCGTAGACTGGCCGCCGGAGGCTCCACTGGGTACCAGGGGGAAACGACTCAGTGAAGCCAGGTGGGCGGCGCAGCCAGATCTCCTCGTGCAGGCTGCCCTGTAGAAAGGCTGTGCTGAAGTCAAGAGAGTGAAGCTCGTAGTCACGCTGAGCAGCGACGTGCAGCAGTACCCGAAGAGTGGTCATCTTCGGGGTGGGAGAGAAGGTCTGAAAGTAGTCAACTCCCTGCCGCTGACTGAAGCCACGAGCAACGTAACGCGCCTTGAAGACAGGCGGAGAACCCGGCGGCCGCTTCACCCTGAAGATCCACATGCCATCGACAATGTTCGCCCCAGGTGGGGGAACCTCGTCGACGTAGGTGCCTGTGGACTTCCAGGAAGCCATCTCTGCGTCCATGGCTGCCTGCCACTGAGAGGAGTAGGGACCCTCAACCGCCTCTGCGTAAGAGCGCGGAGTCGGGATGTCTAGTGCATCCGGGTCTCCCTCAGGGGCAAGCAGCATGGACACGAGATGAGGTGAAGCAGCAGCCAAACACTGGAACTCCTCCTGCCTGTCCTCAAGGACGTCCGTGCCAAGGGCACACTCACCCCCGACGGACGGAGGACAGACAGACTCAGACTCAGCAACAAGACTGGCAGCGTAGTCTAGACGACAGCGAGCAGCAAAGTCGACAAGCTCGGCAACCAGCGCAGACGCAGCAGCAGACTCAAAGGAAGGGTCAGTGACAACAGTGGCTAGGAGACGCGTGACAGTAGGACTAGCAGCACGAAGGGAGTCAGACTCCGGGTCAGCAAGGGTAGGAAGAGAGGACTCAGGAGGAGACGGTAGAGGGACACGCTGTGGAGCAGTGGAAGGACGCAGAGTCATCCGATGCGTGCCAGCAACAGGAGGAGGACGCGGACTACTACGACTAGTGCGAGCAGCACGAACAGGCGACACAGGACGAGACGCAGGCTCACGACGCTCAGCAAGACCTCCTGTCGGACCAGCGTACGGAGACGGAGCAGGCAGCGGGGAGGTGGGCTGTAGCTGTGGCGGCGACAAGACAGGCGGTGGACACTCTAAGGAAGGGGGAGGAGCAGGAGAAGGCGGGAGACCAAGAACCTGCTCAAGGAGCGGAACGAAGTACGGCCGTGGCCGCTCAGCACCTCTAGAGCCAACAGCTGCACCACCAGCAGCTCCAGCACCAGCAGCACCAACAGTAGCACCACCAGCAGCTCCAGCACCACCTCCAGCAGCTCCAGCACCCCCAGAGCCAACAGCAGCACCACCAACAGCTCCAGCACCAGCAGCACCAACAGCAGCACCACCAGCAGCTCCAGCAGCTCCACCAGCTCCACCGGTAGCTCCAGCAGCACCTCCAGCAGCTCCAGCAACACCACCAGCTCCACCGGTAGCTCCAGTAGCACCTCCAGCAGCTCCAGCACCAGCAGCACCACCAGCAGCACCCCCAGAACCACCGGCCTCGGCACCTCCAGGGCCTGTGGTAGCACGAGTGTCTCCAGTACCAGCGGCAGCACCGCCAACTCCAGGACGCCTCCTCAGTCGCTGACGAACCGCAAACCACTCTCGCAGCTCCGCTGGTGTAAGGGGCCGGCGAGAAACCGGTCTAGCACCCTCAGTCTCCGCGCGCCCAGGCTCTGCACCCTCCAGGACCTCACGCACCGGCTCAGCACCCCCAGGCTCCGCACTCTCCAGCACCTCACGCACCGGCTCAGCACCCCCAGGCTCTGCACCCTCCAGCACCTCACGCACCGGCTCAGCACCCCCAGGCTCCGCACTCTCCAGCACCTCACGCACCGGCTCAGCACCCCCAGGCTCCGCACCCTCCAGCACCTCACGCACCGGCTCAGCACCCGCAGGCACCTCACCCTCCAGAACCTCACGCCGTGGCTCAGCACCTCCAGACGCAGCACCTCGAGCAGGACCACCCTCAGCAGCACCTGAGACGCTAATGACCTCGACAGGCTCAGCTAAGGGGGGTGGGTCTACCTGAGACACACCTGAAGGAGCAGGACCCTGGGGGGGAAGGGGGTCTACCGGAGGGGGACCTGGAGCGAGGAAGAGCGGCGGGGGAGGGAGAGGAGCAGTGCGGTAGGGAAAGAGGCGGTAGAAAGGGACTGACTCGTCAAAAGTGACGTCCTGAGAAGACAGGACAGTGCGCGAGGCGGGGTGGTAAAACTGCCAGCCAGGCGCGTCAGTCGGAAAGCCGAGGAAGACACAGGGAAGGGTGTGGGAGGAGAGCTTGTCCGCGGACGTATCGCGAACAAGAGCACGGGCACCCCAGACCCGGAACACCGACGCATCTCCAACCTCCCCCGTCCACCGCAGTGTGGGCGAGGTCTCCGGAACGGAGACACGGGGCCAGAGGTTGAGCTGCTGTGCGGCGTACCTGACTGCAAACGGCCACAGAAAATGGGGAGCCGCCGCATGGATCAAGGAG